CGTCTTTCAGTCTCTTTCACTGTCTTTCTCTGCCTTCTTCTCTGTCACTCTCTTCCCCTCTTTCAGGAGATGACACACGATTCTCCATTAACACACAGACACATACACACACACATTTGGGTACACGCAAGATAACCTGATACAGTGTGTCAGGTTGAGGCACCAGATCAGGAGAAGGGCAGATGATTTGGTTGAGCTCCCAGTATGAACACAGGCCAGGCTGGCTAGCCTTAAGCCAGAGGAGAGAGTAGTGTGAATCTGGAATAAAAGAGTAGTTACTGAAGATGGAGCTTGACAGCAAGAAAAATGTGGAGATAAGGTTACATTTGTTGCAAATTAAATAAGTTTACATTACTTTTTCGCTTTTGATATACTATATCTCAAACTGTCGTATTAATAAAACTTGTGCTTCATCTTCTCTTTTTTTATTTATGGTTGGTCCCACCCACTTCCTGCCTGCCACTCCCCACAACACCGTTTGTTGAAATTGGCTTGTGGGGTTTCCAACGGAGACGTAGAGTAGACACAAGTCGCACATGTCAAGTTGATCAGAGACAGAGCAGGGCAGTGCACTGTTCCCTCTTTATGTTTCTCTCGCTCTCTCCCACTCTTTCCCCTTTGAGTTTCTGCCGGCAGGATCCTGTTTCACTGCAGCCCGCATCACAACCAGACTCTTATGTTGGTGAACCAGATTGATTGTCAACAGAAAGAGATGTGAAATCGTGTCTGCTAAGGAGCTCCCTGCATGGTTCACAGCTGGGTGGCTGTATGTTATGTTTTTCTTTTCAGCGTTTTCTGGGTGATGATTGATCAAATCTTTCGATGTGTTTGAGGAGTACTGTGGGATTTCTGCTTTTGAGGTTTTATTTGAAACTGAGCTTCCAATGTGGTCTGTAGGCACAAATAGAAATGAATCAAAAAGAGGCTCTGTGTCTACACAAGGCAGCTGCTCCGTCATTGGTGATCAACACAAGTTTCTCTACAGAAGACTGGTCCAAGGTCAGAGTTTATCTGACAACCTTAAACTAAGGATTTAGGATAGGAACTGACCCCCAGTGACCCCTCACCTATGACTCCTCCTATGACCTAGGACAGGATTTCCTCCCCACTGTGTCCAGCATTGAACTTAACCCTCATCTTGTCGTGCCACCACCCCCTCTGCCACCAGCCCAGTGTGTTTAGGACAAGCAGAGATTCAGGCTATGGGTTAGTGAACAGAGGACTGCTGTTTGACAGCTGTTGGCCCATGTAATGGGATAGGGCTGCTGTGGAGCCCTTTAACTACTGCACCACTTAACCTGAAGTTCCCACTGTGAAACATCCAGCTGTGCATTTGGATTGTTTGTGACAGATAAGCTTTATATGCAGAAAATGGGATGAAATGATGATGGAAGATAGTTAATTAAATTAATGATAACAAATTGAAAGATCTGCTTTCAACTCAAAAACAGAAACAGTGGGACTCTTAGGCACGCAACTGAGTTCCCATCGATACCATGTCCAGCACTTTCTGTCTATGTCCTAACGTGCTTCAGGAACAGTGTTTACCAGTATTGGGGACACCACAGGGAGGAAGGTGTTTCTAACTCTGGCTGTGGGTACATCTGTTCCTGCATGGGGACTATGTGGCACATAGGCTTATGTCAAGGGAAGGCCAGGCTGGGGAAAACATTCCCAGCTTCAACTTCTGACCCTCTCGCCCCAGTTAACCCCTCACATTCTCCCTTCCCCCTCCTTGCCTGCCTTCATTACAGTAACCCTTAGCGCCTCAGACTCTGCATACTAGCTCAGCCTGTCAACACATAAATTGCCTGCAGAACTTGTGCAATGGATGAATAATTGTGTTGCAAGGAGGCTTCTCATATTTTAAGAGACTGAGTGGTATTCTACACCTGAGGCATCTGCCATTAGGCTACGGATCCATAATTCACTGCATATTACAGCAGCTAGCTGTTTTTCTACTACAGTGTGTGAAATACACAAGGACTGACATAGACTAAGAAAGGTCCCTGTTCTTTGTTTAAAACAGCTTATTGGTGTATGTGGGCAGCAACTTCAAACTTCTGTCAAATAAATATATTATATCATTACTCTTTAAAAATATTTGCACCTGCAAGCATTTAGATATGCCAGGACCATTATTCTTACCATCCATTAAATTCATGTAGTTACATAATTCAG